ATTCCATCTCGATGACGTACACTAGTTCGGATGTCCTTGAATCGAGGTGGTGCTGACTCCTCTTTGCTGTGATCTTTTTCTTCATCTTTATTAGCTGTAGATTCACCACGGCCGCGACCCTCTTGGGTCTCTTGAGTACGCTCTTTCTCAACTTCAGCCATGATTTCCTCTAGTCGTTTGTACTGTGACGATTGCAGTTCGTTCTCATCGCCACTCGACTGCGCATCGGCGTCACTATCCGCCTCGTTGAGCACTTTTTTGCCGGTTATGGAAGCCATCACAGCCTTGAGCGCTAAATCTTCCTCAAACAGTTTCTTCTTTTCTGCTTCTATTCGTTCTTGTAGTTCCTTTTCTCTCTCGCGTTCTGATCGCTCAAGCTGTTCATGGTACAACTTTTTAGCTGCTCGATCGATGACGCTTAAAGAGTCATCAGTCTCACGAATAAGCCGAAGCAAACCTGCACTAGGGTGGTTAGCTGTACTACTCTTTTTCCGCTCATAATTGGCACCTCGAACTGTTGCATAAAGTTTTCTTTGGGGCCCGAGCACCAAAAAACTCTCCAACTCTGACTCTTCATCGGAATTCGGACCATTCTTTACACTCCCTTCAGTTTCTTTCGTACTATGTGAAGGTGTTACTTCTTTGGTCTCATCATTGCTTCGAGCGGAGCCTTCTTCGTTATCATTCATCTCTTCCCCGTAATGTTCAGTCAAGTTGACAAACTGTTGGTTTCTTCGCAACTGGGGCGAAGCTGAAGTTGGCGACACTGCTGATGGTGATGAACTTGAGGAGCTCGACGATGATGAACTCGATGACGCTGCTCTCATTGTTTGTTTGTCAGGTGTTATCTTACTTTGTTGTTGAACAGGCCACACAACCCCAATGCTGTGAACTCCAATCGATCGAATATCTATTTCTTCGCCATCACCATTGACATCGTACATTCCAAAGAAATCTAATGCACCGACGGATACCTGATTATGTTGTACATCTTTCCGGGTTGCACTAGTAAACTCTGTGATATCGCGTTCTCTTGAAGAAGTCTCAGCATGTCTGCTGACAGATCGATTACTTCCAGTCTCACTGTCGCGATTAATGTCATCGTATTCACCTTCCTCTCCATCGTTTTCATCATGTTCATGCTCAGATTGTTCTAAACGAACGCCATCGTCGGCCAGCGCAGTGCTTGGCTTTTCACTTGTCGGTTCTGGGAATCTATGACTAGCATGCTCGGTGACGTCATATGTTTCGAGAATGACGCTCTGCCCCCCAATCTTTTTTGATGACTTCATAGTAGCAGTATTGCCCGTTCGG